AGTGAGTGTGTGTGTGTGTGTGTGTGTGTGTGTGTGTCAGAGGCAAGCAGGCTTAGTTAAATTATAGAGTACAGTCATAAGGCTACTTTGTCTGAGTTAAATTGTGACATGCACACACAGACAGACACACACACACACACACACACACACACACACACACACACACACACACACATACACGCGCGTGCGCACGCACACACACACATATTTGACCGATATGTTGAAATGACAGGTTTTACAGTTGTCTGGTTAGATTCCTGTGCCTGAAAGAAAACTATCTAACTCGCACACTTGGCAATGTGATCTCCGTCTAGTGTCCTTTCACACGATGAAAAACAACAGAACATAGATGAGTACACAGCCAGCTGAATAACTTACAATTCCTTTGATCTGTCTCTGTCTTCTCTTTAGGCTGCAAAAAAAAAATAGATAAACCAGTTAAATACTTTTGATGTTTAATAATGCAAACACTTTCAAAATGATGTCCTCTAATAATGAATATTCCTTGTTTTTTTATTGTTTAATAAATGTTTAGTCTTTTCTATACAGAGAGTTTAGTAGATATGCAAAAATGTTAGCATGTTGCTAAGCTAATGACAAATGACTTCAACTAAAGCATAAAATATAACTAGAAATGTGTTTTTTCAATCTGAAAATCTTGACATAAATTATATACGAAAATAGTTTACTTTTACATCCAGTAAAATAATGCTTAACATAGAAATAAGCAGTGTGCATGTAAAAGATCTAGGTTTTTATTCAATGTAATGAAAACGTAAATGATAATTGGTGATTTTGAAATGAAATGAAATGATATTGATTCATATAGATTTCCCTAAGCAAATATTAAATCCTAAACTTCTTCAAAAGTACAGCTTAAAAAGTCAACATTTCAATACAGGACTTGTTCTGCAGGCACTGTAAATATGACTGAATAAACAATTATTAACAACAATAGCACATGTGATTTTGAAGGCATGAGAACTACAGAAAAAAACAGAGCAGGAAGAGATTTTTTCTGCCTAACGTGTCAGAAATCTTCTTCCTGTACACACACAGACACACATCTTAGCTATTAAATAGGAACATCCCATAGACTTCGATTGTTTTTTATGTACAGCTAGTAAGAATAATTTCTGCATATTTACAGTTTTAAAAATCTTTGTTCTAGTTTATTTTTAGACGGTTTTTACAAATGAGGATGTCCCAAGATAGAGGTTTTGTCAGATGTAGCTCATTTCAGATATGAACATATTTGCCACCAAAAGATGGTTAAGTACACACACACACACATTAAAAACCTGAAAAAAGAATAACTTCTAATCTCCGCTCATTACTCAAGACAAGAACACACACAGCTCTACCCTAAAACCAAACACACATTCACACAGGAATATTTGGAATGCATAAAACCACCTTAAGCAAGCATGCAGTGTGTGTGTGTGTGTGTGTGTGTGTGTGTGTGTGTGAATGAGTGTGTGTGTGTGTGTGTGTGTGTGAGTGAGTGAGTGAGTGTGTGTGTGTGTGTGTGTGTGTGAGTGAGTGAGTGAGTGTGTGTGTGTGTGTGTGTGTGTGAGTGAGTGAGTGAGTGTGTGTGTGTGTGTGTGTGTGTGAGTGAGTGAGTGAGTGTGTGTGTGTGTGTGTGTGTGTGAGTGAGTGAGTGAGTGTGTGTGTGTGTGTGTGTGTGTGAGTGAGTGAGTGAGTGTGTGTGTGTGTGTGTGTGTGTGAGTGAGTGAGTGAGTGTGTGTGTGTGTGTGTGTGTGTGAGTGAGTGAGTGAGTGTGTGTGTGTGTGTGTGTGTGTGAGTGAGTGAGTGAGTGTGTGTGTGTGTGTGTGTGTGTGAGTGAGTGAGTGAGTGTGTGTGTGTGTGTGTGTGTGTGAGTGAGTGAGTGAGTGTGTGTGTGTGTGTGTGTGTGTGAGTGAGTGAGTGAGTGTGTGTGTGTGTGTGTGTGTGTGAGTGTGAGTGTGTGTGTGTGTGTAGTGCACGGGTGGGCTACACTTATGCCTTATGAGTAACTCATGACTGGCCTTCATGTGATCTGGTCCACAATTCAGATCAGGTCATTGCTAGCATATGTCTCTGTGCTTTATATTTTTTATACACTACTGCTTAAAAGTTTGGAGTCAATATGATGCATTATTATTATTATTATTATTATTATTCCACAGCATGGATGCATTAAATAGTTTAAAAGTGACAGAAAGGACTTTTACAGTACATTGTTACCAACAAAAAAAAAAGATTTCAGAATAATGCTGTCTTTATGAATTTGTATTTATAAGAATCTGTTCACTAAAGACTGGAATATTGGTGCTGAAAATTTAGCTTTGCCATCACAGAAATAAATTACATTTCACAATTTATTCGAGTACGCATCAATCATTTTAACAATATTTCACAATATTGCTATATTTTCGATCAAATAAATGCAGCCTTAGTGAAAATATGAGACTTATGAGAGATTAAAAAATCTTATTGACCCCAATATTTTGAATTGTGGTGTTTCAGAGCATTTTTTTTTCAAGCAGTACTTTTATTAATAGACCATCAGATCCATATTTAGACTGAGTCGGCTCGTTTTTTCAAGTTTTTCAATCAGAAAGCCCCCCCCCCCCACACCTCACCAGCAGCGGCAGCATGATCATGTGATCACAGCTTAATGAAGTCACAAGGCACTTTATGGTCGAAATGCTGGAATACTGCTGACAGCACATCAGATGGTTCATGTCAGGATAAATCAATGGGACGTTCAAATTAAGTAATAAAATGTGTGCTGATATTAGTCAAACAACTCCCCACAATGCTTACGTGAATGTAATTATATCGTATTACACAAATGTTTGGATAAGAAGCTGGGTGGGGGTCATCAGGGCTCAGGATACATGAGATATGAGATGAGGCAAACAGAATCATAAAGATTTATGGAGATGTTTATTGCTGCATTAGTGCTATAAACTGGTCTTAATAAAAAGCTCATTGATGCTCTGTACTGTAGTTTATAGGTCATGATATGTTAAGCTAAAAGCTTAGTGTGCTGTTGTGCTTTGAAAAGAAATGCAATTACCAACTAATCATTCCATTAGAAAGAAAGTCACAAATTAGATCTTTTAAAATGTTTTGATGTTGTTTTAGACTCCAGCTTATTTTACTGTATCATTCAAAAGATAATGTTATAATGTTTTGGGAGTGTGCAATTTGGTACAGTATTTATATGAATCTTTGGTTACACTTTACTTGAAGGGGTGTGCATAAGACTGACATGACACCTTCATAATCATGACATGTCATGAATATGAAGGTTTTTTATGCATGTTTATGACAACTGTCATTAAGTGTCATTCGCTCAGTTATGTCATTTTTAATGCAAATATGACATTATTTGACCTAACCCTACCCCTACCCTTACCCCTAACCATAGCCAATAACAAAGACATCTCAAACAATGTCATCTTTGCATTAAAAATGACATAACTGAGCGAATGACACTTAATGACAGTTGTCATAAACATGCATAAAACCTCCTTCATATTCATGACATGTGTCATGTCATGAAATGTTTGTAGGGAAAATTCTGAATTACATAATATCTACCCAGTGTTGTTTCCCATGTAGCTGCAGTAGTCACAAAGAGCAATGACACACACACACACACACACACACACACTACATGACTGGGTAATCAGAGCTTAAGGTGGGCATACATTCCTAAGATTTCTGTGTGTGTGGCTTTACAACAGCTCGTATATATTGAGAAGATATGCCTTGAGAAGGTTTTAGATGTGCTCAACATGAACAAATCTGTTGTAGCATGTCTGTGTATGAAAAAAATTGAAAGAAACAGAGAAGATATCCATTATTAACCACATCCATGCACCACCCATTATCCCAGTGCTTCCGTTTGAAATTAGGTTTGTGGTCATGTACAGTAAATGGGCGTAGTGTTTAAGGGAGGAATTGCACACATGACATACACACACACACACACTCAGTTAGAGTGTGAGCATAAAAGATGTGTGGGTTATATGAGGGATGGTCCTATCAGCACATAAAGAGCCATTGTTTTCTGCTTTATCAGCACGGCCTTGTGACTGCGCAGGACACACACACACACACACACACACACACTCATGAAGGACAGAGTCCAGCACTGTAGGCTTGCACATATTTTACCTTGTTGATGCAAAAATGAAACATTAATGACTGAAAATAAGGTTGTTGTTTTACAGCATGTTAAAGTGTGTGAAATCTATTAAACACAGAGCCTGTGGGATTCTCACTCAACCAACACCACTATGATAACAGATTTGTTCAGCTCTACAGTTGTTGTATTTGGCAGCAAGTGTAAAAAGAATGACAATATGTGTCCATAATTATTATACTGTATGTTGTTCAGTATTATGACTGCAGTTGTGTGGACTACTGTTATGGTATATTTGTGTGTGTGTGTGTGTGTGTGTGTGTGTGTGAGTGTGAGTGTGAGTGTGTTGTGTGTGTTTAACTGCATCTAGTCACCATTCACTTATATTTTGTAAAAGTGCAGCATGAAAATCATGTTTATCATGTCCCTTTTGGTCTACATAACATTATAAGAGAACATTTTATAGTGAAACTTTCCATTTCTCTCCAGAAAATATTCTTCTCTCTTGTTGTTTGTTTTTGCAGCTGAAAAACCATGCTGATGGTCCTTTAGAAAATGGCACAAATGTTAAACTGCCAATCTCACACCAGCTGCAGACTGAGGGCATAATCATTATGCGTCGTGTCAGTCTGTATGCAGTTATGCTGATGATAATAGCTCTCTCTCTTTCTCTCTCAGTCAATGAGTACCTGTTCACGGTTCAGGCCCGTGGGATCCAGATCCGCGAGAATGTGAGGAATATGGGAGCTCAGGTTCTTGAGCAGATGGTCCGCAGTGCCTACAACGTCAACGGCACAGGTACGAAACATTACGAAGCACAGAGAACAGACCGCTAATCTTCCTTCCTATAGAACATCCCTGACATTTCCTCAGGAAGTGAAGGCATTACATCCTTCTGAGACCCACCGAAAACAGCACAGTTTTGTAGGAAGACTCTTTAGCCAATACCTTTGCAACGCTGATTTAGTGAAAATCTTTAATAAGATGTCTATAAAACATGTTTGCGTTGTCTTTTTGAATGTACACTAGTAAACGTATATCTACAAAACCAAAAGAGGAAGTTTTCATGGCCAATCCCCAAACATCTCTGCAAAGTCCAGGGTGGGATTACACCAGGGTTTATGAAGTATGTGGTCTCACAGAAAAAAAGAAAAGAACTGCTGGTTCTCGGGAAGATAGTTGGGATGTTTGTAATGTATTGCTGTATGAATGTGTGATTCTCTTGTTTTCTAGACTATGCATACGAGTTTAACTTAAGTGAGGCAGATGTTCCCACCACTGCTTACCTCCCGGGGGGCTTCACGTACAAGCCTGATCAGGTCTGCCCGGAAAAGCTGCCCTCCATGAGTAAGTGCTGGATCTTAATGTTGCTTTTGGTACTTTTGAGGAAACACACTTCAGAAGCACTGTATGACCAATTCAGCGAATGAGTTGTTAAAGCTCCTAAGAGTCACTTCCTGTGTTTCCTTTGTGTTTGTTGATGAAAGAATGCATACGTTGACAAAACCAGATAAAATAACGAACTGACATTAAATATTAAATGGCTACCAAATAAAGTTTTTGAAACTGGTTTTGGAATAGAGCTTGTGCAGCTTTGTTTCTGGTGTCGTTAGCTGTAATTACAAAGCTCTCATAAATACTGGTATGATCGACGGCAGTTGTTCTAACGATATTCATGTTCATGTTCATGTTCAGAGGGCAAGTTGAAGGTGAACATGAGTGAGATCGCTCTAGAGGAGGTTGAGAGACTACTCAAGAAGGCAGATCCAAGTCTGTCTCTCGGGGGCCACTGGAAACCGCACGACTGTCTCCCACGCTGGAAGGTTCGTCATAAAAACTGAAGCTACCCTTTACCTGTTTCTTCTTTGTTTTCTTTTTGTGGTTGTGGTCCGAGGTACAGAAAGTTTGCTTCACAAAAAGCTATGTTGCAAGATGGGTTGAGTGTGTTCTTTTTTTTTAAAGCCTGTCATTCGCTTCTCTTTGTGTGGTTATGAGCACACTGTAACCCAGTGTCTAGTTTTCATTTGGGATTAAATGCTTCGGTTGAAAACAGTTGTTGCCAAATTAAAATGTTTTATGCAAGAAGCAGAAGAATTGTAATTTTGTTAACATGCTTCGATGTAGTAATACACAAATTGTTATACGTAACCTAACATGAAAAATCTAATTTCTAAGACTATTTAAAACACATATGGGACAGTGGAAAGAAGCAGTTTAATCATCTAATCTGACTTAGGAAATAATTAGCTGAAATGGAAAAAATGACTATTTCATGGAAATGAATCAAACTGTTATCAGTATTTTATTTATTTATTTAATTATCCATTCATTCCTTTAGCATTTGTGAATTTTGAATCAGATACAACACTGGGACAATCTTTAAAAACATCTAAAAGAAAGTGTGCTAAAATCATGAAGATATTTACAATATTGGACATTTTCAAATTGTCAAAAAAAGTCAAATCAAACATATCTTTAAATATTAAATATTTATCACCTAGCCCTGACACACACATACAAATGCATCTTAGATATTGTAGCAGCAATAGAAATGTGGTAAAATTCTTAACTTTGGGGATCTTTGACACTGAAAACAGATATTTCTTGATTTTTTGCAATCATTTTCCTATGTGTTTTAGGTGGCCATCTTGGTTCCTTTCCGTAATCGCCATGAGCACCTCCCCATACTTTTCCGACATCTGATCCCAGTGCTTCAGAGGCAGAGACTGCAGTTCGGTTTCTACGTCATTGAACAGGTCAGGAAAAAAAGCTGTCACACTGTACAACCTTGTGTGGCTCAAGTATCCAAATTCTTCTTACAGCAACTGTAAAAATGTGCAGTGTTGGGGAAAGTTACTTTTAAAAGTAATGCATTACAATATTGCATTACTCCATAAAAAAAGTAAATAATTACGTTACTTAGTTACTTTTTTATGGAAAGTAATGCTTTACGTTACTTTTGCGCTACTCGTAACTTGCGTTACTTGTAATATATTACCCCCAACACTGAAAATGTGTATACTGCAAAAACTGTTTGTGTAGTATGGTAGTATGCTATTCTGACCCATAATATCTGTCACACCATTTGTCAAACTCTTCTAAATCATCCCACTGAAACACAGCCGAACATAAGATTGCTTTTACAAATGATTTATGCACTACACATTACAACTAATTCAGCTCGACTACTGTGTTACTACTGCCAATATCATGAGCAACACTATGTTCATGAGCAAGTCCTATTTCATTGTAAAAATATTTTTTAAGTATTGGTAAGAGGTAAAGGAAAGGAAGTTAAATTAATGTTTGTGTGTGTCCACAGGCAGGAAATGAACCGTTCAATCGTGCCATGCTGTTTAATGTCGGTTTCAAAGAGGCCATGAAGGACTTGAACTGGGATTGTGTAATATTTCACGATGTTGACCACATTCTGGAAAATGACCGCAACTACTATGGTTGTGGTGAAATGCCAAGACACTTTGCGGTCAAACTCAACAAGTACTCTTACATGTAAGTTTTCATAACATTTCTCCACGTGTGATTTTGAAATGTTGTTCGGTCTGTGTATATGAATTATGAATGATGTTTGGTTGTGAATAAAGATTCGTATCTCTCTAAACATGCAGGCTTCCATATGAGGAGTTCTTTGGTGGTGTTAGTGGGCTCACCGTGGAGCAGTACAGGAAGATAAATGGCTTTCCCAATGCATTCTGGGGCTGGGGAGGGGAAGACGACGACCTTTGGAACAGGTATGAAGGTGAAATTTTTTTAGAGCTGTTAGCAGGATTTTGGAACGCAATGAACTCATGTATTTTGGAAAGAGACACTCCCACAAAAGTGGTCTAGCAGCCGGTTTACTGTAAAAGATGATAATAACACTTCCTGGACTGGACTGGACTATCTGGATCCCACTAAATGTGTAATTCGTACTATAAAAGGAATGATTGCCAACGGACATTAAAGGTGCGCTCAGTAATTTCCCCTCAATTAAGATGGATTACACTGAAAAAAATAAGTAGTACTTTTTATTTTCAAAGCCTAATTTTGTTTCACATGGCTACCATTACTCGAAAAAAGAAGTAGACTTTCATTTCATTTAATTTTATTGTATACTAAAATCATTTGTTGTATTTATAAGTAAAGCATATTTTCTAAGTTTCTTGTAGAAATTATACTAAAATCAATGTACTGTTAGTACATTTGTATTAAACCAACATCATACTTATAGTTTATTCACACTATGGAAGAATTGTCAATAAAATCAACCAAATGTTTATCTGTCTGTACAAAAAAAAAAGGTCAGGTTCAGTTCCACCAATGCACTATTAAGTTATTCTAGCAAAATGCTGACTCATTACTACACTGTAAAAAATCCAACTTCCGAAAAGTTCTACTAACCAATGTAAAAAAATAAGTAGCCCGATCAAAGAATTTTTAGTAGAAGTCAGTTAATTTTTTGTGTGAACTGAACAAAAATACTCTAAACACGTCGCTAACAAAAGTTGTTTTGTTTACCTTACTTAGATACTCAAGTATTTGTTCACAACATATCCAAATGTTCTCCCAACTTTTCATATTGAGTCATCTGAGCAAACAATTTTACATTGAACAATATTGCACAAGTTCCCAGCATGCATTGCAGCTTGAAAACATTTTATGTTAATTATAATGAAAATTTAATGTTTTAATTTTTACTGGCTTATTTATGCTGCTGCTGCTGTCAATGTCAGTTAATTGTCATGTGGATCAGAGTTCATATTTTTACTGATTTAACATTTGATGATCCTCACCATGGTTGAGAATCGTGTGCTGAGGTACTGTATATGTGCATCTCAATGCAACTTGTTTAATACATTTGTCTTATCAGCCTAAATGTTTGCTTTTAGATTTAAGAGGCAAATACTATCCATATTATGTAGAAGGCTTTGAAAATAAACATACATCTAAAAGAAAGAGGATTGTTAAAAGAGATTCCCTGTTGAAAAAAAACAGCATATGCTGGTTAGGTATGTTTTGACGCTGGGATGCTGGTTTAAGCTGGTCCTTTTGCTGGTTTAAACTGGTAAACAGCACATGACCAGCATAAACCAGCAAAAAGACCAGCATAAACCAGCAAAGGACCAGCTTAAACCAGCAAAGGAACAGCATAAACCAGCAACCAGCTTAAACCAGCAAAGAACCAGCATAAACCAGCATCCCAGCGTCAAAACATACCTAACCAGCATATGCTGTTTTTTTCAACAGGGATTAGCATTGCTAAATGCTAAAAAATCTTTGGTTGCTCTGACAGATCAGATTATTCATTAGATGAACTACTTTTTAAGTTGTTGGTTGCTAGTTGAGTTAACTTAACAAGTTGAGTGCGATAGGTTGCCTTATTTTTTTGAGTTAGGTCAACAACTTTTTTTTTAGAGTGTATAAACTTATATAAACAAGATAGTATGGAAAACATATGCTATAGTGACACATAGATTACTCTGTCAAAAGAGTAAACAAAACTACAAGCTAAGTAAACTTAGATTATGATTAAGTACAAATATAGGCCAAATAAACTTTTCTGTTAACTTGTCAGTATACAAGCCAAGTACACTTAAGTATAACTTCACTTCAAGTATATGCCATATAAAAAGTAGACTAAAAGTATATTCTCTTATTTTTTAGCTTTACGAAACAGCCCTGTAGAATAAGCTTCTTTGGTAACACTTTAGTTTAGGGACCAACTCTCATTATTAACTAGTTGCTTATTAGCATGCCTGTTACTAGCATATTGGCTGTTTGTTAGTACTTACATATTCTGCGTGACCATATTCTACATCCCTAATCCTACACAACACCTAAACTTAACAACTACCTTACTAACTAGTAATAAGCAGAAAATTAGAAGTGTATTGAGGCAAAAGTCATAGTTAATGGTTAGTTAATAGTGAGAATTGGACCTTAAAATAAAGTGTGACCGCTTCATTTTTGCAACGGTAGCTAAATACCAAAGTACTCCACAAACTACAGTCTTGGGTAGACCACCTATTATGAAACACATTTGTACAAAGAATAAATTCATCTTGGGTGACTGTGATCAAACGGCATCTATAACCAAAAACTATTTATTTTGTATGATGTTGCATCTATACATTATAGTTTGTATTATAAATAGTAAATAATGTAAATAGTCCTTCACTTTTTGCAGTGACTTGGAACATAGTTGACACTTGCATGTGTTTTTTCCAGGGTTCAGTTTGCTGGCTACAAAGTGAGTCGGCCTCATGGAGACACTGGTCGTTATAAGTCTATACCACACCACCACCGCGGGGAAGTCCAGTTTCTGGGCAGGTAAGATGAGAACAGCCCTTTCTAAATATTTATTTTGCTATATTTCAGATGACATCCTGAGCGCATGCAGTCGACATTGAATTGTTGGGAAATAGAATGCAATGGTTCTTACATAAACAATTGTTATGCAAATTGTTGCATTGAATTTAATTTAATGGAAAAGGCCCAGTCTTTCGTAAGATTACGCCTTATTCATGAAACACATGCACAACAGATTTCTGTGTTTATCATTCCTAAATCCATTATTGTGTAAATTATTGAACTAAATGAAACTGTTAGCGTAAAATGACCATATTTTAGATCCCTTAATCCTGCACCATACCTTAACATAACAGCTACCACACTGACTATTAATAAGCAGAAAATTGGGAGTTTATTGAGGGAAAACTCATAGTTAATAGTGAGACCCCAAACTAAAGTGTGACCAAATTTGGCCTAATAGTTTTACAGACATTCATTCCGCTCATGCTTTTTTTAATGGCTTACATTGAAATTTCATTACTACAATTACGTTATAATTTGTTCTGCTTTTGTTTAATTATTGGGCTGAAAGCCAAGGCTGAATAAGTTTTGACAGGCTGCTGAAAACACATTTTCTCCTTTTGTTTTTCAGATACAAGTTGCTCCGTAGATCCAAGGAGAGACAGAGCCTGGATGGCCTGAATAACTTGAATTACTCCCCTCTAGTGTCCCGGAAGAGTCTGTACACTAATGTGTCAGTGACGCTCAGTCGAGACCTGGCCCCTGTCGCCGATTACTGACAACACACAAGGGACGGGCCAGACAGACCCACGCACCATTTTTATTAGTTATTTTTTAGGAAGTGTGTGTGTGGGGGGGGGGGATTCCTTAAATCTTTAATGCACAGAGCATTTTTATTTTATTTTTACATTTATTTTATTATATTATTATAATTATTATGTTTTTAAATTTGGCTTTTCTACATAATTTGTTAAGCTAATTTTACCACAGTTTTGTTTTGTTTTTTTTGTGTTTTTCCTTTGTCACTCATCCACTGTCCGTCTGTCATGTGAATGGATCCGTTCTTGAATCCAAAACCCCGACTGCTGGTTTACCCTCATCGGACCAATCAGATCCGACATGTGGTGTGTGTCTTCTAATCAGACTTCGCCTGGGGGGTTGAAGTCGCATGTTTACAGCATGAATGACAAAAGCTATTGAACAAGTTAATGACAATTATGCTAAACGACTTCAGAATAGCCATTGTAGGAGTTGAGGATATGCCCTTTTCTCTGCCAGAAACAAACACAGCTGGTTCTGTGCGTTAGGATATAAACCAATAAATGCAGGTTAAAATATGTATTAAATATAGAATAAATAAGCATGCACTGATACTTACGGTAGATGCTACTAACATCACGGGTTTAAGTGTGAGTATTCGCTCATGAAACGTGGAAACGAACACCCTCGATCATTTTAGCTGTACAATACAAACACGCTCATCAACCACAATGCTTACTGTTCAACACAAAGAGTTTTCTCGACATTAGCATGACCCCATGAAAATGGCTTGACAAGCGCAGTGTCCTTTCCTGTGTTCATGTATCTTTTACTAAAACAGGGCGTTGGGGCATATCAAAGGGCTTGTACCTTTTTGTAAATGGCCAGTAGCTTTTAGTTTATGATTTGCTACTTGCTATTTCTAATCAGGGGCAGGCGGTATTGAGAGGGCGACATTCAATTTAGTTCAAATTTGCCCAGAAGAAATTTTGGCCTCATCTATATTTATGGGCCGTTTTCCGTGAACAGATATTCTCATTTGTACGGTCATTTTTAATCCACCTATCTGCTAAAGTGAGTTTTCTCAACTCTTAGGAGTACAACCAGCACATCAGACCTAATAGACATGGACTAAAGGCCACAAAACGATGTCTTAAGAGCCATACACAAACCACGGCAATGCCAGCAAAATGCGCCTCGGTCTGAACGGTCACGCATTTTTGCTGCGTTCACTGGGATATGTGTCATTGGAACTAGATTAGGACCAGCTGACGTGTTAGTTTTGAGATTTGTCAAGCTGTATTTATGTGGGTCTGCTGGTTGTTTAAAACACTGGATTGTCTGTCGAACAAACATCCTGTTGTTTGTGCTTACAGAGGGTTTTTTCCATTAGTTCCTGCTTACATTGTGTAGATAATGTTTCCCATGCACTGCCCTTCACAGTCAAATCGACATGCTTTGCATTGAGCAATATGCTGTTGCCTCTCTGCGTGTGTAGTCACCTCACCTCTGATGACATTATAAAACGCTATTGAGTTTTACTAGAGCCAATATTTGACATTGTTTAATTCCGAGTGTTATTGCCAGGTAATCTCTTGAGCTGAATTCGGACAAGCAGACTGAGCAACTCTATTAGACCAAACACACAGACACTCTGGGCCTCATTCGTGAAACCACTTGCATTCAACAACTTGCGTTCAAGAAATACGTCGAAACGTAGAACACATGCACATAATATAGAGATAGTTTACATTTGTGAAAGCAGACTGAATTTCTGTGTCGTCATTCATAAAAACATTATTGCGCAATTTGTTGCATTGAAATGAATGCGACTTAGTTATGAACAACTCGCACAGAAATTGGTCATGCTTGTGTTTTATAATATCCTGAGATACAGTGTCCATGTCGGTCATTTATGAACCATAAATGAGGCCCTTTGCTTTCATTCCACTGTAATAGCACATTATCATTACACGCGTTTATGTCGTTTAGAGACCTTAGAGGCTTCGTAATGCGTATTTGTGAGCGTGTTCGTGTGCATTCATCAAATCAGAGGCTGGACCTCGTACTTATTCATTCCTTTATGTACATTTGTTTTGTTTTTTATTAGTTTTAGTTCATTTTTACATATTTCTATCTTGTTTTACTGTAATTGTGATTATTGTGAGGGAAACGTATCAAGAGAGATAACTGTGATGTAAAAACAAGCACTGCAATATGTTTCTTATCACGTACAATGTGAGACTGATCTTGGGAAGAGAGTCTGTTGCTGTTAAACTCAATGGACGGCTGTTTCGTATGATGACACGAGAGAACGAGTAAGTTAGAGAGACGGTTCTTGGTCGCCCGCCCAGTGATCCTGCCCTGATAGCCAATGGTGCTGACCTCACAGACATTAGTACTGTGCTGCCATGGTACTTTTGTCTTGTAACAGATAATTAGACGGGATTGAATCTAATTACACTCTTGCCTCATTGACCATCTCGGCAGTGTAATCTATCCATGTAGCAGGTAAATTGTGTTTAGCTGGACGAACGCTCAAGCAGATCTTTCTAATGTTTGATTCTCTCTGTGTTTGACACTCATGGAGTTTTGCGCCAATGTTTGGGGTCCTTTTTGCTCGTTTAACAATTAGCGATTAGTGCTCTCACACTGCGTCCGAACCCAATGCAACATGACAAGATCCCAGCATGATGCCACAAACCAAGTGACCAACAAAACGAGCTCAAAATCAGAGATAAGACACAGAAAATCCTACTGGTCCTGCCTCACTTTTTTTATGGGCCCCGTCATTGGCACACTCCAGCCCACTATATAACCCATTCTGCTCCAGATGAAATGACAGGGAGGGCCGCAACCCATCCCTTGAACAACTGGCTGCCTTAAAACCTGTTAATTTATTCAATATAATCATGTTTTTATTTTTTATAAGCAAATATATTTAATGTGTTATTGTGCATATTGTGTAGTGTGTTTTGGGGGAAAAAAAAGTCATATAAAGGAACTTCAAAGACTGACTTACTATTAAGAAAAAATTTGGAGCCCTTTAGTCAGACAATGATTTGGTGCCATTGACCTCTCTGTGAATGCCATGAGCTGTGTGAGCTGTATTTTCTATTCACTCCAACATTTGTTTCTTTTTAATCATAACAGGCCTTAAATACTGTTTTTATGATCATTCGTGATGAAGATGAAGATGTTCCTCTATAACATTATCATGTATCTTACTAAGATCTTTTGTCGGCCAAACACATTCATTTTCCAAATCTTTGCATCTGGAAATGAAACATTTTACATCATTTGTATAATATCAAGACAACTGAAATGTTATGAGAAAATAAGATGTCGTCATCCATTATAAGGGGATCAGGTCTCCTTGAAGTGAAGCCATCTGCCACTCGTACAACACATCTCAGCCTTAGTGTTTCTGTATGAACATATCTCTCAGTAGAGACACTTTCTATGATGTGAGATCTTTTTTTCTATTATCATTGTTGAAATGACTGAAGTGCACCAATAAAAGTGACTTTAAGCAATATCTTTTGTTGTTTGGTGTGTTTGAATGCTCAATTAGCTGAAGTGGATAATATTCTAGTGGCAATAAACTGAATTGCAAAGATTGATAATGCAAAACTGTGAATCATGTTCTGATTGAAAAGTGTGCTTGTGCTATATTTCTTTCATGAATGTGCTATATATATAAAAAATAAGGTTTTAGTACCAGTAGGCTACTCTCAACATAGCCGTTTACTGAGCAGTTCAGAGATCTGAATTCAGATGTTTTTGTGTTATGGTTAAGTGGTTGCAGGAGTCATCGTTTAGCTTGGCCTATTTTTATGTAACATTTAGAGCATCAAAGGTATAAAACATTGGTTCTTTATATAATATGAATTATGCATTCACTACAACAAAATTGGGCTTATATATATATATATATATTGGCATGACATGGATACACTAATGTGATTTAGGTACGAATCCATTGCAGTTTTTTTTTAATAACATTAGGTTTATAACATCTTTTGCTGTCTAACATAGTTAGCGCATTTTTCAATTATCTTCTGTAAATCCCCCTTCTTCATTATCAAATATATCTGTTTGATGTTTGTAAGTGTACAGTACATATGATTGAAAGCATCCTACTATACATGAAACATTTGCAACCAATGTCGCTGGATATTCATTAAAAAAACAACGCGGACAGGTATTTGAGGTTGGAAAGTATGAGGGCTTGGTTTTTAAAGCAATGAAAGTTGTTTCTTCATGCGCTGACTTGTGCCAGTGAAATGTGTTAAGAAGGTACTGTAAATAGTCCATTTTGATTTCATGCTAACGTTTTAACTTGAAATTATGCTGAACTTTTCACACACAGTGTCCTCATCTGGTCCCATCTGCCATTTAATCAGATGCTACACTGAAACAGAGAAATCCTTTGAGTCATTCCCTAAAAATAGCGCTCCCCATTTTAACAGCATTCAGTACTCATCTGCTTCTTTTCAACAGACAGCTGCAGAGACTCAAAGAGCTGCACAAATACAAAGATCATGATTTTGTCAAACAGTTTTTCACTCAGCATGAATGGGTTTGAATGACATCTCTGAATGGACCTCTTCAGTTGTGCATGGATAAGGAAATGAAACAGCAGTTATATAGCTTCATGGGACATTTTTTATTTTTTTAATTTAAACAAAAAGGACAATCCAGTAGTCAAAATGAGGCAATGGTGATAAACAAAATACATGGGCAGTCCAACATCGAAATTAAGGCCTTTCCAAGCACGAAAAAGCGAAACGAATATCAGACACTCTGGAATAAAAGGTAACACTTTAGAATAATGGTCCGTTGTTAACAAGTAACTATGCAGGAAGTAATAGGTAGTGCTACATTAACACTTAACTTAATACTATTAACTAATAGAGAAGCAAGATTAACTAATTTAGGACAAAGGTAGTTCCTTATTAGATATTTGATAATTACTAAAAAAATATATCCTCATTGAGAACTACTTGCGAACTATGACCAATTAATAAAGAATTACAACAGTGAAGTCTTAAAAGTGAACAACTGGGTTCTTTGTGGAAACGAATTTATGAATTTGATATCCCCCAAATATGTCGGTTACAAGTTGAAATTGTGACTACTACTCTTACCAAAGGATGGATGTTCTCTGTTTATTTCAAACAAAAACATAGAATAATAATAAAAATAATTCATTTAAAAATGTTAATAATTAGGAAGTGATTGAATTAGTTCACAATTATGAGCTCTAGTTTGTGTCAGTTCAGTATGTCTCCGACTCCAAAAGACCTATACCTTTAGTGACAGTAGGCTGGGGAGGACTTTTCTTGAATATAAATAATGATGTTCTCTTGACAAAAACAGTTCACATCCTTAATGAAGGCATCGACTGCATTTATATTGTGTTAAGCACAAAACCGCATATTCCAGATTACAGTGCCTGGTAAAATATCACTAGTGCCTCACACAAATGTATGTGTCAGATATAAAATATGTTAAATAACTTATTAAATTACTTAGTAATTACTGAGTGGTTAAGGTGTTTTTCACTTTAAAATAATGGTCCAGATCACTAGTTCCTTAGTAGCACTTTAGCTTTAAAGTGAAAAACACCTTAACCACTCAGTAATTACCAAGTAATTTAATAAGTTATTTAACATATTTTATATCTGACACATACTGTGCAGTTATACATTTGTGTGAGGCACTAGTAATATTTTACCAGACACTGTAATCTGGAATATGCGGTTTTGTGCTTAACACAATATAAATGCAGTCGATGCCTTCATTAAGGATGTGAATTGTTTTTGTCAAGAGAACATCATTATTTATATTCAAGAAAAGTCCTCCCCAGCCTACTGTCACTAAAGGTATAGGTCTTTTGGAGTCGGAGACATACTGAACTGACACAAACTAGAGCTCATAATTGTGAACTAATTCAATCATGAGCTTGTCAGCATCACTTCCTAATTATTAACATTTTTAAGTGAATTATCATTTTTATTATTATTCTATGTTTAAGTTTGAAATAAATGGAGAACATCCATCCTTTGGTAAGAGTAGTAGTCACAATTTTAAAATGTAGCCGACTTATTTGGGGGATATCAAATTCATAAATTAGTTTCCACAAAGAACCCAATTGTTCACTTTTAAGACGTCACTGTTGTGATTAGCAATTAATTGTTTATTCTTTATTAACTGGTCATAGTTCGCAAGTAGTTCTCAATGAGGATATTTTAATTTAATAATTATCAAATATCTAATAAGGAACTACCTTAGTCCTAAATTTGCTACTACTTGCTTAGTTCATCTTGCTCCTCTATTAGTTAATAGTATTAAGTTAAGTGTTAATGTAGTACTACCTATTACTTCCTGCATAGTTACTTGTTAACAACGGACC